GCCTTCTTTGAATTAAGAAATACCATTTTTTTATTTGCTGATACGGGAAACACTCTATTGTACATACATGTATGCCAGAAAATGCTGTGGAAAATAAGCATCTCTATTTATAGCGGTATTTTATCGTATTTTTTGATGTTTCTAGAGAAACTTCATATTGTTTGCATTGAAAATAATCGAATTGTTCAATGCAATTAGAAATGAAAAGCAAATTGAGGAAAATCTTAATTATCAAATTCGATACTTTACCATCGCCAAATCTTACAAATTACTGTAAATCAAATTGGTAACTGAAGTTCGCATCCAACCTAACGAGAGGAGTAAGCAAAAAATCCAGTGTAAAAATGAGAGGTTTTTGAACTTTTCAAATATACTCAAGAAAAATCAAGAGCAGAAAAATCGTTAGCTCAAAAGATACATGGTATTAAAAAAGTCATATTTTTTCATCATTAATGGATAATTTTTAAATTAAATTTAAATTTTCGGTCATAAATATATGTCGGATTGTTTTCCGTTGTAAAACGAATATATTTATACAAAAACTTCGGATTTTAATAAAGATCGCACGCTCAAATTGTTTCCTTTAACAAATCAAAGAATTCCGTAACTAATGATGACTCAATTATGTCGATTTACAGTGCAGACATTGCCAAAAATTTGGCCCAAAATTATATGTGTATCAATCAGATCAGCCTACAATGTGCTTTCACTGAAATATCTGACTGAGAAATTCATTATTTGGCCGGCAACAGGACGCAACAAAATATCTTTCAACTTAAAAATTAACCTTTTCAATTGAATTGTGCACAATTCTTATAAGAAACGAGTCCAACAGAACGAACTACATGAAAAAATGAAATATTGAATAAAATCATAGTTTTTATTTATTTTTCATGGAAAATGTTCAAAATTGTTTGAATTGTACAAAAAAAAAATATTTCCACGAAGTTAGTTGCGTTCTACGAATGTTGTCGTCATTTCGACTACGGAGATTTGTTCGCTGAAAGGTTTTGAAACATCAAAAGGCAAAATGGCTGCACAGCTAACGCCACGAGTGGATACAATTTGCACTTTAGAAATGTCAATATTGGTTGGTGCCGTCAAAGTAATTTAATATATGGCAAACTAAAGATATTATATACAACAACTTACATTTCAACCGAAAATTATACATTTAAATAGTATCGTTTGTAAAATAAAAGAAATTGACGATGGATGATGGACAAAATGCACGTACAATTCATTGCGGTAATTTGAATGCTGACAAAATCACCGAAGAATTGCTGTATGAGCTATTTTTACAGGTCAGTCAATATATCGCAGAAAGAAACTAAGCAAATATCAACTAAAAATTGATAATTATGTTAAATATTTTAGGCTGGTCCACTTGAAAGGGTATCAATACCCAAAGATAATGGTAAAAATCGTCAATATGGTTTTGTCACATATAAGTTTCAATGCTCGGTTCCGTATGCCATGAACGTTTTCTCGGGCACAAAACTGTTCAATCGTGAATTGCGATTGAACAATCGTTGTTCGAATAAAAACAACAACAATGGCATTGAAAACAATCAACCGCGTGGCAATCAAATGTCTAATGTACCACCACCGTTATTGCCAAATATGCCGACCACACATCAATTCCAATTGCAAAACCCATATGGAAACGATGCATTGCGTGGTGGTGTCTTCAATAATCGCGGTTCAGCCATGAATCATATGAACAACATGATGCCAACAGCATTTACTCCAAATTTACCGTTACAATTTCCGCAGAATGCACAAATCGATTATCAAACATTATTGGCACAGAGTGCACAAATGTTTGCGATGGCAAATAATATGGCTGGAAATAATATGGCAAATGACAACGAATCACATAAGCATCAATCGAAAATGATGCATCACCACGACAGTCGACCACATAATCAAAACAGCAACTACAATCGCGATAAGGACAGACGCAATGATCGAAATGATCGGCGACGAGATCGTAGCAAGGATAGAAGTCGATCATTGAGCCGAGAAAGAACGGATTGGATACGAAATAAAGGAAAGGGTTCCAATAGTAGGTCAGATCGACGTGATCGAAATCATAGGGCAGGCAATAACAATCGCCGTAGATAAATGAACCATTTTGATGAAAACTGCGATGCGATTGATTACATTTGTTAACCGATTCTACTCATTATTAATTTAAATAAAAAAGCATGTGTATTTTGAAGGGCACGCGTGTCTTTTTGAAAATAAAAAGAAAAAAGTAAATAAAAATATATCAAATTTGGTAGCATTTTGCCAAATCGTTTGTAGAAAAAACTGTTTCTAATTTTATTTGGATTGGATTTTTTTTTAAATGGATTACAAATCGAATTATTCAAAGAAAATGGAACTGACGAAAATTGAATTGAAAATTCATATGAAGAAAATAGAAAGTTAAAGATGGTGGTATTTAATAATTAAATTGGGATGCCAATTTTGAATTTCAAATCCAAATAAACAATTGATTTCATCTAGAATCATTATTTTTCAAATAAAATTAAGTGATTTATTTGATATGAACTTCTCAAATCGATTTGTCAAATATTATGTTGACTACGATTGACTCAAATCAAATCATATGATGAAAAATTCGAGAAGATTTTAAATTTTGCATAAAAATGATGTCATTTAAATTCATTTCAATACAGTAGAGTACAGAAAGGAATAGACACACAAATTATATTTTCTGGAGCGATTGAGAAAATTATCCGTTGACATAGAATATGGAAAGGTAAAATCTAATTTTAAATTTCAATTTCGATTTTTTTTTCCATTTTTTTCTAATTTCATTCAACGACTATTGGAATTAAATGAATTCCATGAATTAACAACACTTGTTTAGGAAAACTTGTATTTATTGCAACTATTTCTAAATACAAAAAGGCATTTAAAATACAATTGTCCTAAAAATGAAATGATTTTGTTTAGCCAAAACTGAATATACATAATTGCCAATTTTATGTTTGTGAGAAAAAAAAATACATTTTGGAATGTTTTTTAACCGACAATAGTGATTTCGATAGTACAAAATTTATTAATTCTTTTTATTAGAGCTGAATGTTCAAAAATCTCTCTCTCTATCTCTCTATGCTCTTCTAATCTCTATTCATACTCTCCGAATTAGTTTGATACAAACGGAAAAAACTTTAAGGAAGTTGACAACGGAAAAAGCGATAAAAAATTTAAGAAATTATGAACAAATTTGTGTTAAAAAAAAGTTTGAGGCTTGATTAATAATAATAATAATAAAATAAACGCCCAGTGTGCACGATTTTATCTCTTAAATTGCTTAAACATTAAATATTCATCTTCGTGTACTGTCATGCATGATTTCTCTGGAATTGTATAATGTTATTTCATCATTTATCTTTCCGATTGACCCCGCATTTCGGTAATTGTAATAGTTATATGCAAAACATTGATTTAATTCTCGTTTTTAAGATTTCGGCGTTGTAGGGCGGCGGCAAGGTCTTGTTTCATGGCAGCCTGTGCTTTCTGATCTGACAATGATTGAATGCTACGCAAACCATTTACAATGTCTTTCGTTTTACTGAAGTAAATTTCGTTAAGCGTATTTCGAATTTTATTCTCCATATCCTCAACCATCCGACCGATGTTGGCAATGTGTGGCGATTGTTCGTTTACATTTGCATCTTGTTCCACCTGCAAAAAGCAAAGAAAAACACACACACGACATAAGAGAAATCTTGAATTTTTTCCTCAAAATAATAAATGGACACTGAAAACAAATCAAACGTACCTGTCTGGTTAAACTGCCGCCCAAGTTCATCGTGCCCGAGCCAGTTTTATTGGTTTGTAGCCACAGCATCGCTGTCGATGTGAGTTTGTAATGCGCCATACGACCGGAACTCTTCTCTTGCACTTCAACCACATGAATTGAGTCCCAACAGCCCTTGATTTTTTTGCTGCCATCACCAGCTTTTTTAATCAAAATTACACCGGCAAAACCATGATTTAAATCCCACAGGTACACAGACGAAACACCACCCTCGTAATACATGTCACGATATTGGTCGAATGCATGGTTTGCTTCAATTTCCAATTTACGCAATCGTTCCGATGGCATTGAACCATCTTCAAGAGGTGGATCGTATGTATTCGACCATGGTGATCGGTATGAGTCACCATCACGATTATAATCACATAACAAATAATCTCGACCGCTCTCCTTATCTTTCGCCACTTTCAGCGGTTGATCCACCGACGATAGTAAATCCTCACATAGCGCCGGTGCCAAATCGATTAAATCAATCAAATTCTTTTCGATTTGTTGAGGCGGTAATCGGCGCATCAAGTCCAAAGCGCAATCCATTTGCATTTCAGTCTAACAACGAAACAAGAAGAGAACCACATATTGTTGTTTAAAAAAAAATTAAATAGACCATTGATTAATGGTCATGTTCAAGAAAATCGCCTTTTTTTGAATACAACATTAAATCTTCGGCATTAAAACCTTATGGGCGTGCCATATTTCCAGTTTTCATTGTGAACAGTGACAACGTATACACATTCGCTATAATGTCGTCGTACTCTGTGTGCAATCGAATGTCATGATTTCATCAATTTCTTACCATTTTGTTGCTATGTTTTTTTTCCTCTCGTTATCACAACACGGCAATTTATTCGCACAAAATATATGCAGAGAAAAATCAAGCAAAAAATGCCCACTGATCTTTCACTCGATTAATGAGTATAATATAAAACAATTTACAAATTTGTGTATATTTTTTTGTTTAAATGAAAAATAGAACTGAAATAGCAAGAGACTTGTCTTGTTTCTACAGACTTTCTTGTGTATACGGGTTGGTATGATGCATACACATAGTTGTGTTTGTGAGGCGAGATTGACAGGTTTGTGAACTACGAAACTTTTGACAGTTCATACACTGTCTCCGCCATTCAAGTAGCATGAACGTATTCACAAGACCAATACACTTAGTAAATGACTGAATCTCAATTAGATCGGATGACAATTGCGCTCTGCTAAAAAAAATTCTAGAAGACGCACATGTTTTTCCAGGGAAAATCATGAAATTTGTCATCCAACAGTGTTAATTTGTTATTATTTTTGTGTGCTTTGTTTTGTTTTTTTGTCGTAAATGCCTTAGATAGGCAAAAACACACTAATTTATCAGTTTTTTCGTATTGAAAATGCTTCTTTTTTGTTCATAAACTTTGCTATCGCGTCTAAGAAAAAGAAGTGTGTGCGCTACAAAATCAGTGCTCTCTTTCGCAGTGGTGCAAAAAAAAAACACAGTCGTACAGTGTGAATCATGATTTGAGGTAAAACACAAAGTAAAATAAAGTCATAACGGGACCGAATTGGTTGTGTTTTATCTCTGCAGAGTTGTCATTAATGAGCTACCAAGAGTTACATTAAAACGTAATTAGACATTTTTTTATGTGTGCAACAAACAACAAATGGCTCACTTTTTGTGTTGAATTTGATTGTGTTGGTGAGAAAAAAGACTTTCAGTGTGCAATACGGCATTCAAATTCCAAAATATAGGCGAAATTGGCGAACGTATATGTGGTTTTTTTTTAAATGTTGGTGTAACATTATTCAAAGAGGTTGGTGTTAGAAACTTGCTTTGAATTGCACCAAATCGGATTTAAACAGTTCATTTACGCATTATAAGTTTACGTTCATAGGCGTTCCATCGTTGTTGTCGCCATTTTTTTTCATTCGATGTGTGCACAAAAATAAATTCGCTGTGAACAAATCGATGTTTCGTTTTTTTTTATCTTCATTTGAGAAACCGTGATATAACACAATGTGACGAAAAACGTTTCATTCGTATAGTCATTTAAAAGGTATACTTTAAGACTAAGTAACATTTTCATTAAGACATAAATACAACCATTCAATTGAAAATCAATTAGATTTTGTAATCTTCGCATTGTATTTCATTTTGTTTCATTTAACGTAGAGAAAGCATCGATAAATTTAACGTGAGCCAAATCAAATCGATACAATGGCGTCCGGAGAATTATCTTTGACCAGCAACAGTAGCCAAGAGGGGAGTCATGAATTTGGTTGCTATTCGAATGATCGAGCACGTAAAACGTCGTCCGATAGCACAAAGAATTTTGAAACAATAAAAAAGCAATACGATGAAGCTTTAATGGAATTAAATTCGCTGCGATTACGTGAAAGTAATGGCGAAATGCAAATGAGCCATTTAACAAAGCAACTGGAATTCTACAAAGAAAAATATATGGATGCAATAAATCAAGTTGGCCAAACGGCCATCGAAGGAACGTCATTGCGCACAAAATATGCGGACATATCCAATGAAAATCGACGATTGCAGCAGCGCATCCATCATTTGGAAAAGCAAGTAACGCAACAAGAAAACGGTACGCATCAAACCGTTTGCACATTTCACGAACAGTACAATGAGCTCAAGAAGAAATATGATACGAATCGCATTGATATGGATAAACAGCAAAAGGAAAATGAAATGTGCAAAAAGAAATGTGCCGATTTATCGCGAGATCGTAATTCGGTGGCATTGGAAAAGAATGACTTGAAACAACAGCTAACGAAGGCATTCACACAATTGGAATCGGCATTGCATGAGAAAAATATGCTACGAGAAGCCAGAGACAAATTGATGCAACAGAATGAAATTCAAATAAAAGAGATGCAACAGTTGATGAATCAACGGGCCGACGAACTAAGGCGTGTGACAGCTCAGAGAAATGCCGTTAAATTAGAATTGCAAACAATTTTGGGCGAAAAAGACGTAGTTCTCGAAGAAAATCAAAAGATGAGCGACGAATTAGCGGCCGCCAAAGAACAGTTGGAAAAACAATACAAAAACGATCAATCAATGATGTATGAAAATGAGTCGCTGAAGAGACTACGCGACGATCTTTTGACAGAACGTAATTGTCTTCGTGAACGACTCGAGGAAAAGGAATTGATGAAAAGTCATGACAACGCTTGGAACGATCCGGACACAAAGGAGAAATATCAATTGGATTTGAATGCAGCCAACAAAGAGATGGAGAAGCTACGGAATAGCTTGGAACGAGTCAAAAGTGAATTGAGCAAAGCACTGGATGAAACAGAAGTCGCCAAATCGAGACGGTGAGTACCAAGACTGACTATTTTTGTCATCGCTGAAACTTTGTTTTTTTTTTCAATGTCATAATTTGAAATTATCATGGTAACATTTTGAATTATGGGTGCAGACAAGTGAAACGAATTTAAATTGACCGTTTTCACATTGATGCTTTGATCATAATTTGAAATTCATTGCGTTTGCCTTGTTTTACTACATTTTTTGTTTGCTAATAATTTTTCCTTCGTTCATTTAATATCGTTTCAGCGACTGGGCAATATCAGAGCGTGAAAAGATAGTTTTGGAGCGCGACAACGTTAAAATTCTCAATGATGAGTTACAAAAAGAGCGTGATACGGCTGTTTCTGATTTATTACAAGCAATTCGAGATAGTGAAGAGATCAAAAAGCAAAAAGATGAAGCTTTCCAAGAGATCGACCATTTGCGCAAGCAACTTGAATCACAGGTGAATTGTTCACGTCGCAGTATGCGCTGGAGTTATGCACCATATGAAATGGATGCATTGGCCAAAAATGACACCGAAGTGGTCGAAATAGATATGAGTTCGATTGGACCAAATGACGATATTGGAATCGTATTGGAAGGTGGAAGAGAAGATTCACAAAATCGAATTGATGGCAACATAACGGTGGTGAGTGTGTCGAAAGATTCACCAGCCTATGGCAAACTTCGGCCAAACGACAGTATTATGCTTGTAAATAACATCGATTGTTCGTCATTCTCGAAGCGAATGGTCATCGAAACGATACGTAATGGTTGCGAGCGATGTGACATTGTTGTAAAACGGCAACGTGTAACCAGAGCGCACATGTATGCTGTTCAATTGAATTTATTAAATTCAAATCGTGATCATGGTCTAAGCTTAGAGTCGGGAATCTTTATTTCAAAAGTGGCACCCAGTTCGTTGGCATCGGCCGAACAGAATTTAACAGCTGGCGATCGTATATTAGCCATTAACAATCAGTCAATGGACGGCATTCTAAGTGGCAACGATGCAATGACCTATTTAAATGATGAACGTGCTGATACATTGCATATCATTGCATTGAAACAAGTGACACATTCATCGGACACAGAAACGTTCAGTCGACATAAGCCAAATCAAATGGAAACAACCAGCACCCAAACTGATGAGAGATTTACTTTTGAGGGTGAATCGACGCGAACAAATTCGTCGGGTAATTCAAAATCGACGTCAAAAATATCGGAAATGTTCAATAAATTCCGTGGAAAAATTCACATGCACGGTCATAGCAATCAAAAAGGTAGCACAGCGTCCGAAAGTGATAGCTTATGTCAAGAAAATGATGCAATTGCCGCACTTGATTCGGTATTGAATAACGAAAATACAACGACCACCGGTAAAATTAAAGAGAATATTTTTGGTAAACGATCGAAAAAGGCGAAAAAAGAAACAACAAAAGAGGTCAACAAAAATTTGGGCACATGGCCAAGGGCAAACATTTTAAATACAGCAACCGGACAAGAGAATCATACAGGAACAATTGTGCAACCACGTAAGAAAGAACGACCAGCCCTATCGTTATTCACCGGTCCAATAACATTGGGTAAAGATGAAAAACCATTGGGCATGAAAAAAGATAGCTATTTCAATGTCCACATGCATGAAACAACACCAATGGGTGTAAATAAACCGGGGCTATCATTAGTGTCGAATGTAAGCCGTAATTCGAATTCAATTCCGTTTCATTATGCACCATCTGGTTTGAATCGGCATTCAGTCTATTCAACGATGGAATCAGAACCCGTCATGCTGGAGAGTGGAAAATTACAATCGAAAAATTTGCCCGATATGAATCGAAAATATCACTACCATCATCATCATCATAATATGAATCGGCTCAGTTTGAACATTACACCATCCATGGATAGTACTAGCATATACAATACGGTCATCAATCGCAAAAGCAACACAAATACTCTCGACACAAAAGTATCAAATCATCCAATGTCAATGGATTATGTGGCGTTGAAGAATTCAACCGATTCATTGCTCAATTCGAAAAGTCCAATGTCGTCGTTAGATTTCAAACCAAATTTAACACATCAACAAGCCCAGGATCTCATTTCATTGAAAAGTCAAAATTCAATCGACTCATTTCTATCGCCAAAAAGCCCACCATCATTAGAATCGAGCAAACCATTGTATCCAACGGAGAATCCCGACTTTTACAACAAACGTTCATCGAAAAATGTATCGAAATTCCCAAGTGACAGTGATAGCTTAGGCATGGAATCGATTTCATCGCCAAACAATAGCTACACAAGTACATTACCATCATATGCATCGAACAATAGAGCCCAATCAATGCTCACATCAAACGGACGCATTCAACGAATGTTCACACCTTTCGCAAATCACAGTCATCCACATCATCACATGAGACAATCAAGTCCACTGACAATACCGTTGACTCAATCACTGGACATTACAGGTACATTTTAATGCTTAACATTTATTTCAGTTTTATTGAAGTCATTTTGTTTTGGTTTAATAACAGGAAACAACAATTCATCCGATAAGCTGGAGTATGAGTTTGTGCAATCGCATCATTCACACGGTGTATCCATGGACATTGATCAATATCAACGGAATAAAGTGCATCCAACTCGTGATCGTGACATAATATACGGCAGTTACGGTCATGCTTATGAAGGCGGCACATTTCCACGTAAAAAGGAAAATCAACGAGTACGAATTCCATCGAATCCAAGTGTAGCTAGCAAAAGTAGTGATATGAAAGACAGCACCGGATCGATTGAACACAGTGATGGTTCACCGATGCCACCGCCATTCAAAGTTGAAGTATTAAGTCATGGCGCCAACAGCAATATGTCCGAACACAATCCGGGGCCCGGATATTTGCGACGCATAACGATTGACAAGAGTGCAGGACCACTTGGAATAACGATTCAATGCAATGAAGGTGGTGGCATTTTCGTATCGACGGTCACAACAAACAGCATTGCAAGTCGAGCAGGTTTACGCTGTGGAGATCAATTGCTTGAAGTTTGTGGTATAAACATGAGAGATGCAAATCATAAAATTGCGGCTAAAATCTTACGGCAATGCGGAAATACGATGACAATGCTCGCCCAGTATTGTCCAGATAGTAAGTAATTCGTCATTTTATTTCCGATGATTTTGTCATTAATCGATTTTTTTTCATTTTGTTTACAGAATTTCATGGAAATATTGTGCAACACATAACAGAAGAGGATAGTGTTAGTCGTTCAGGTTCGCCGACACCACGAAATTCGCCGCGAGGCGTTGCTCGTTCAATGGCATTATCACCAAGGCCGGTTAGCATGCAACCACAATCTGTTCCACAAGCAATACCGAAACGTTCGCTAATGTCATCGAATATGAAGCAAAAGTTCTCCGACAGCCTGGAAAATCAATCAGATTTTAGCCAAACCGGATCACCCGATTGCATGTATGATGAAGAAGAGCCACGTGTTTTGACATTAAACACAAAGAAAAGCACAAATTTGGGGATCTCATTAATGGGCGTAAGTACCAAGGCATTCTTACTTAAAAATTACTATTCCATTACTCCACAATTTCTGGTCCATTCCTCAGATAATTTTTCCATTCTGTTCCATTACCTAGAGTTATATGCAATTGAAATAATCACAATATCAACTAGATATTTATAGAATGTAGTAAAAAAGTAGTAAAGGTTTGATCACACACATACAGGTTTTTCATTTCACAGATCCAATTTACCAAATAACCACTACCAAATCTTAATTTTAAGCAATCTGTTTGCGTAAGCGCATTTAGCCATTAAGTTGTGAAATTTAATGTGTTCGCCATACTGAAAGTAAAAAGTACACACAGTGTGTAAGTGTTACACTGTGATTCGATTATTTCAATTTCATTTTCCATTACATTCCATTACATGTTGATTAATTTCCATTAATTCCATTTTTTTCTTCTGATTATCTCTAGGGAAATGCAGTCGGTATTTATGTGCATGACGTGCAGAAAAATTCATTGGCCGATATTGCTGGCATGAAAAAAGGCGATCAAATTCTCGAATACAATGGAGTTGATTTGCGCAGAGTCACAGCGGAATATGCGGCAATGGAAATATCGAAGGCATGCGATAAAGTCACCGTACTCGTTCAACACAATATGACAAGTAAGTACATGCGGAAATACACCACCAAAAATGGGATAGAATACATTTTTTAACGATTGTACTTCCTTACAGAGTTTAATCAAATCAAAGACGAAGCAGGCGATTCTCTCTATTTCCGTGCCGGATTTGATCGGACAGGTGAACTAAACGAAGGCGAATTGCGATTTGTCAAAGATGACATTTTATACGTGGACACAACAATATTTAGAGGAAAATTTGGCCAATGGCGTGCATGGAAACTCGATGAATATGGACATCGATTAAGATGCGGCATCATTCCGAGTCAACTAAAGTAAGTATTACAGTTATCGATTCTCATAGTCTTCAAACCCATAGAAAAAGACCAAATTTTTATTAGTTAGATAAATTTGAAATTGAAAAGTGTTTAAACTAAAACGTATTTTGAACATTTGCAGAATTGAAGAGGAATTACGTCTATTGACCGATACTGCTGATGGAGAAGGAACGACCAAGAGAAAATCTGCACGTCGATCGTTCTTCCGTCGAAAGAAGCATCAACGCAGCTCATCACGTGATTCAAAAGATCTGTCCAGTTTCAGTAGTACACAATTGAGTTGGTTCACTGATTCGGGCATCGTCGGAGAAGACGGAACACTATCGAGTTATCAACGTGTTGAGCGCTTAGATTGTGAGTTAAATCATTTGAATGAAATCCGAATCGGCGGCGAGTAATCATGGTGTTTTGATTCTCATTTTAGATATGTGCCGACCAGTATTGATTTTGGGCCCGTTAGCCGAATGTGTGGCTGAAAAGCTAACAATTGATTTTCCGCAAGTATTTGAACGATTTTTGCCCACCACTATGAATTGTACACAAGAAAATATGGAAGAAGGACTTCAAAATAACATTTTGGTCGACTATCGACGTCGAGGTAATATCTACGAGTGTACGCCAGTTCAAGCCATCAGAGACTTGTGCGATAAGGTATGTGTCAATTTCATTGAAACACCCAAAATGAATGTGAACACCATAAAAATGTCTAAAATAACATAGTTATCATTTCAGAATCGCCATTGTTTGCTTGATGTGAATATCTCTGCAGTGGAACGATTGAAACGGATTCAAATCTATCCGATCGTGCTGTTGCTGCGTTTTAAATCTGCCCGACAAATCAAAGAGATCAAAGATAAAATGTCAGAGAAGGCAGCAAAGGAAATGTATGAGCATGCATTGAAGCTGGAATCCGATTATCGGCAATATATATCAGGTGAGTTGATCACAAATTATGTTGTACATACATTTTTTAATGTCATATGATGCCTGACTATGGAATGTTTATAATTTCAGCTGTCATACCAGCCGGCGTGAACATAACGCATATGAGTACTCAAATCAAAGCTGCCGTTGATGAAGAGCAAAATAAGGCACTTTGGGTTCCAATCACAAACTAATAGAGCTACATTTTGAAATTACTGGAGCATTCTTCATACTTACATCGAAAACAAACGACCTTTTCAAACATTAACTTTGATAGAATTTAAAAAAAAAAAATGTATAAGGACCAGTTCACATTTAGCAATAGAATGTGTTTAATCAACAATTTTTTTTATAATTACCACCAATATTATGCAAGAGGAAAAACACGTATAATATTGGCGGTAATTGTACTTACAGTTCTGTCTGCCTCAGCAAAGAAAGACAAATGACGACCGTCTTTTGGCATTTTCTATTTGCTTTTTCTAATGCAAATTTTTTATCATGGTTCACATAATGTGTCTTCCACCATCCATTCTAACCAAATGCAATGAATTGCAATTGCGATTGTTCTTTTTATAAATTGTTCGTTGTGTTGTCAATAGTCTTCGTTCATAATGATTTTTTATAAAGTATTTTATTGGTGCTTTAAATTCGAATTTTATGTTTTAATTGTTAAATGGTTAATGGATTTATTGATTTAGCACTAAAGTCTAGAGACAAATAAATTTATGTGTGTTAATGTGAGTGAAAAAAACGGTATAAGAAAAAAAACACAACACATTTTCACTGGCGTTCATAGTCGATGTCGTGTTTGTTTTCCTTCTTATGCCGTTTTCTATAACGAGCAATAATCTAATTGAGTAAGTCAAATTGTATTGAAATGTTTTATAAAAACTTAAGGACTATTTACATGTACTAGAGTAGAAAAGGTGTTTCTACACACCTAAGGTTTACTTAGCTCGTTAAATTGATCGAAAGAGCCATATTGCTCGGATTTTTTTCCACTTCGAATCAATGCCTTCATCATACAACATCATTAAATAAAATTATACATATTTTGTATATGTTTTTTTTTATAAATTGTTTACACAAATGTATAAAAATGTTTTTGATTTAAAACAAAGAAATATGCTCTCTTCTCGTTTTCTATTAAAATTGATATACATATGGATAAATGACTCTTTTCTGCTTAAATTTGTGGTCCAATTTGAAGTTTTCATAAATGATAATTGTTCTGACATAGTCGCACACTAATCTGTCATACTTGTTTCCTGAACGAGGTTATGAGAATGTGCCAAGAAGAATATACCATTGATTTGAAGCAGAAAAACGTGAATTGTCTTTAGCTGCATGTTTTTTTAAAGTTTTTTTTTTTTAATCTGAAAAAAGTTACAAATCGTCGTGGAACACATACAAAATATGTTTTTCAAAAATAAAAATGTTTGCATTGTAGGATCTTTCCGCTCCAAATGAAATCTATTTTACGAAAAAGATACATGCGACTCTCACTTCCTTAAATTAATTTTTCACTAGCCTTTTTTTTCTCTCGATAAATATTGTTTTTTTTTGTGTGTCAGATAAATATGAGTGATGAATGAGTTGTCTAAAAAAAGATTTAAATTTAACTTATTTACAAATGAATTGTTTTCCTAATAATTCGGTTTTTTAAAAATCTATTTCTTCATTGAACATTTCTGCAAAATCGTCGCTTAGATAGCTCTTTTTATGAAACCAATCGCTGCTTGAATGATCGGGTTCTTCACCCAATTCATCATGAATGTTATCGTCTGCATTCATTTCAGGATTTCCGTCATTTTTCGTGTATTTTCCCAATGATCGGGGACTTCTTGATGTCACGCGATATTCAAATGGAATATTATAACATTTACAAATGCAACAGGATGGGAAGCGGAACCAGTCTGAGAAGATGCCACGACATTCGTTGTGTGGATCATATGCCAATAGCCGATGAAGTCTATACTGTTGTTCACTGAAATTTCGAGATACGAAAAAAGGTACATTTTGAAGAATATATGTATGAATGAATACAATGAGAACTTACCATCTGCAGCCGTCACGACAATACATTTGCTTGTGTTCCTGAGTACACTTTTCCCAATGTACATATTGCTCGAATGGATACAGATTCAGTAAGGCTAACACTTCGCCACGGGTGTTATTTGCCCAAAATGGTGCAACAACTTCTTCTTTGACCGGACAAGCGTTCCTAAAAAATCACATCAAAATCGATCATTTTAACTTTCTTTTGCGGCACAAAAGGAAGACTTTATTTCAACACGATTGTCAATTGAATATTTCATTGGTATATACTATGTTTTACTTACACTCCTTTTGAGCTAATGAGAACGGGTTCTTCTTTTTCGGCGACATCTTGATAAAGTTGTCCAATGGTATTGTCATCGGATGGTTTCGCAGTTTTATCCGGTTTTGGATTACCATCGATATCAACGATGCTCTCAGTATTAATCGATTCATCTGGCGTAGAGTCGTCGTCGTCATCGATCTCTTCACTCGAAACGCTCCCATCGAGATCGCTCGAATCAACCTCAAAATGTATCAAATTGTCATCAACTTGACTTTTTGGTGTTGTACTATTCTGTTTCAAAAACATGCTTTCGGTTCGATTTTCTGGCGTAACAGCACTTTCAGTCGTTACATTTAATGGACTGGCTGTTGTTGTTCGATCATCTTTCGTATAGCCATATATTCTCAATGTCGTCGATATGGTGGCTGCCACCTCCGATTTATTGCTTTTATCCGATAAATCAGGTGCACCAACAATTTCAATGTTATCATTTGATTCGTTGCGAAGTTCCGTTACTAATTTTCCATTATCGCTAACATTGGCGAATATATTTTTATTCGCATTTTCGTTGTCAAATTGATCGAAAATTTCTTCAATAGCCGCATCAATCACTTCTTCATATGGATCATCATTGCTTTTCTCTTTTGAACTATCTGTATTTCGTGTTAGTTTTGCACTCAACACCTTTCGTTCGGCCGATTTTGTCTTTTTGGTCGGTATTGGTTCGGTGGATGAGGAAAGCGTTGAAGTTGACGCTGATGTTTCGACATTCGTTGATGCAGTTGAGCCGGCTCGTTGTGTGGTTCTGCCTCGTGAACGGGTTGTCGTCGATCGACCAGTCGTACTACGAGCCGTTGACGCACGTCTATAGTGAGCCTCCGATAACAAATCACTATTTTTCTGTTTTGATGATTCTTGGTACAAATACTTGTTACGTTTCCATCCAGCTCGAGAATAACGTACGGCTGTTTCTTCAACATCATCCAATGTGATGTCATTATTTGTGATTTCATTTCGTAACACGGATATATGCCGTACGTCACCATACATTCGTTTCATCATTCCTTGATTTTCGTTCACAAAGCGTCGAACGGCATGCCATGGATACATGGTGCCGGGCAAATTACAATACGCTTGCACCGATAAATCACATGGAATCGATTTGATCAGCTGAGCACGACCACGGCGAGCCGTTTTATCGCTGCAAGACGCACCCGCATCAAATCCATAACAATCAATGACTGGCACGGTCAATGCAAAAACTGCAATTAATGCTAACATAAAGTTTTTCGTCTAAAACAAACCAAAAAAAGAAAGGAAAAGAAATTTATATAAAATATTTATAAAAATACCGATAAAATTGATTGAATCGTTAAAAAAACTATGATTAACATATCCGATGACTATTCAACATTTAGACATTTATGATTTGATAAATTGTTATTGAATGACTAATTCGTTCGGCGAAAAAATAAATATAGTGATCATTGTTTGATTTCAATAATCGCACTTTATATGGTTTCCGAGTAGAAATGGCAAATGTGAAAAAGACATGGAAATAAGAGTTTTGACTTTTCAGCAATTGATATCACATAAAATGCATTGATGCATTCAAACATATCCATTGAAAGCAGCGATCATAAATCCACATCGTTGAGCCGTTAGCAAAAACTAATGCAAAAGCATTGGAAAACAAAATTATGCATTTGTTGACTAAAGTAAAATAATAATAGATTAGAAAGTGGCTTGCGTTTTGTAAGTTTTTTTACTTGATCTTGCAATGGTTGTGTTGTTGATTTTTGTGTATTTTGTTTGTTTTTTTTTTGTCATAGTAGTCGATGTTGTCGCCGTTGTTTGCGACAGTTGGACAAATACAAGCACAAAGATACTCACACAGGTTGCATTGAGAAAGAGAAATACTAATAACATTGGTCAACAATTATTTCATATTCTTTTCACATTTCTTTCATCATTCCATAAATACATACACACACACACATACGGTCCGGTAAGAGGTCTCTGCCTCTTTCTACATTCATGAGCACAGTTGATTCGAATCTTTCGATACGTGTTGCATTCTCTTCGTCGCGTCGCTGGCTTAGTTACCCATCAACCGAATGATCGCGACTTACAAAGAAATAGCGATCCGATTAAATATTCATAAAAATTTCACTCTTGATACATACTGGTGACTTTTTCCCGTTTGTTTTTTTTTCACTTTACTCTTCTCTTCGTTTTTCTACATTCATTCGTAGCATATTCGAGATTTGCAATGTAAAGATGACAGCATCAAAACTGAACACATTCTTGCCCACACAGAGAAAAAAAATGTAAATAAAATTGAGATGAAAACAATTCAAAGTTATGATTACTGTTGCACGCTCCTCACTTGCACTCCACTCGCCAATTTTGGCCAAGCTGATTAATGTCGATTAAATAAATGAACGTGTACTTTTTGGATATGTTCGAAATTCCGCCACACCATATCGACGGTCTTTCACTTTAAGGCGTAGGGTAATGTGTGCTGGTGCGTGTACGATGAACGTGCGTTTTTGTAAACCATTGATTATTATGCTCAACAGCATATTATTGAACGTTTCGAATAAAAATATGCATGCGAAGGAAAACACATCGACACACACACACACACACACACACACACACACACACACACACACACA